GATGTCATGCTTGGTAGGGTGGAGGGTCAACGAAAGAGGGGGAGGCCTTCAACGAGATGGATTGACACGGTGGCTGCAATGATGGGCTCAAGTATAGCAGAGATCATGGAGCTGGCACGGGATCGGGCAGTGTTTTGTTCTGCTGTGCATGGGGTTGCTTAGAGTCGAAAACGACTTGACGGCACCTAACAACAACAAGAAGCTAGTAAGATTTTGTTCAAAAAATTATTTTCGTTGTTGTTGGGAATATACACAGCAAAACAGACACCAATTCAACCATTTCTGCATGTACAATTCAGTGACAGTGACGACACTCTCTGAGTTGTGCACCCATCCTCACCCTCCTTCTCTGAGTTGATCCTCCCTCATTAACATAAACTCACTGCCTTCCAGGGAGCTCTGGTAGCACAGTGCCTAAGGCAATTGACTGCTAACCAGAAAGCTGGTGGTTTAAACCCACAAGCCGCTCCTTGCAAGATTGGGCAATCTACTTCCGTAGAGATACTGCCTCAAAAACCCAAGGAGGGGTCACTAAGAGTCGGAAACTCGGGCAGTGAGTTCGTTTTTTTTTTTTTTTTTTGCTTACTGCCTTCTAAGTTTGCTATCTAATATTTTGAGCTGCTATTGTCAGTGTGATCCCATGTAGACAGTTCTTACAGTTCTTAAAAGAGCTCAAGCCATTAGTTTTAACGGGCAACAATAACTTATACACTAACTCCTGCAGTCTGAACTTGGGAACAGCTCACTTGAGGGAAAGTTTGAGTTTGTATAACAGACACACTTCCGGGCACATATCAAGAGAGGAGGAAAAAAGAAATATCTAAGTACTTTGGGTTTAGGATTTTTGACAGATTAACTCTACCTTGTTGATAAAAAGGTCTTAATAGCAGTTACTCTTCGGAGAACCAACTCACCCAGGTTTTTTGCTTGGGACGTTTTCAGTTTTAGCAATGAAAGTTCTCTGTCCCGGGCAAAGCAAGGTAAGTGAAACCTGTGAGAGGCAGAACTCAACAGGGCCACCTTATTTTCTGGGTCTTGCAAGTTTTCCACCTTTGACAGGGTGCAGTCTTACCACTTTTCTATTGCTCATTTTGTGGAAAATATTTGAGTTTTCCTTCTCTGACAGGTTTCTGCCTTACGGAGTTTCCAGCTTTTGTAGGTTTTACTCTAACTCATTCCAACTCCATAGGGAGGAAGTAAGGGTATGGAAAGAGGGAAGAAGGGTTTAGGAAAAGTTCCTTCTCATAAGAGTATGATTAGAAAAGACTATCCTCCCTAATAACCTTTGAACAGGAAGCCAAAGGCACTAACTGTGCAAAAAAAAAACAAACAGAAAGAAAAACATCTCAGGAAAAAGGAACACCAAATACAAAGACCCCCAAATAAAGTTTGACTTCGGCTCAGAACTGCTACCACAAAACTGGTGTGGCTGGAGTCAGTGAGTCAGAAGAGACAGAATGTAACACTGTTGGAGAAGTAGCCAGAAGCCAGATCAGGAATGGCTTTACGAACTATGGGGGAGAGTTTAAATTTCTTTTTAAGAAAAATGGGACAATACTGAAGGGTTTTAAGCAGAGAGGTGATGAGATCTGAATTACATTTCTTAAAAATCCCCCTGGCTGTGGTACAGAGAATGGTTGGGGGAATTTCTCAGGTGGTATCACTACAGAAGCAGATTGCCCAACCTTCCTTCAGGGAAGTGGCTGGTGGGTTTGAGCAGTCAAGTGCCTTAGGCACTATGCTACCAGAGCTTCTCATTAACAGGTAGACAGAGTAAGAAAGTATGGACTGAACATAAACTAGGCACAAACCACGTTTCTCATTAGAGCAGGAAGCCTCAAGGAAAACTGAGTGGTAGGCAGGGCGGTGGGCAGAACGCCAGCAGCACGTGGCTAAGGAAGCTGGGAGTGGAGGGGTTTACTAGAAGGAAAGGATGTGGCCAATGTTCCCCACTCCTCCTCTCGGGCCCGCCCCCGTCTCGACCCCTTCTCCCTTCCATATATAGAACGGAGTCCCGTTGTCGCCCGCCCGTGTCGCCCCCAGAGCCGCCATGCCAGCCGACCTCAGCGGCACCTGGAACCTGCTCAGCAGCGACAACTTCGAGGGTTACATGTTGGCCCTAGGTAGGCGGGAGGGCCGGGCTGCTTAGGGGCGGTGAGGGGCCGCAGACACTTGCCGTCGCCTGGGGGCTCGGGGCGTGAGCAGCCAGCCGCCTGTCGGTCCATCAATGCGTCTTTCCGGGTCTGTCTGTCTTCCTTTACCCGCCCCTGGGCCAAGGCTCTCGAGTTCCCCGAGGACTCTGAAGGAGGCGGAGATGGGGCCGCGCGACCGCTTTGCAGAGAGTCTCTGAGCAGTAAGGGCGTCCAGCCCGGGTAGGGGGCGCCCGGCTCCGAAGCGCCTCCCCGGCAACTTTTGCCTTCAGAGTCCTGCAGCTCGCGGCTCTGCGTACGGGCTCTGGAGTCTCTGAGACCACAAGGGGCGCTCTCAGTGAGGTCCTCGACTGGCAGCGCCCGCACGTGCTCCTCAGAAATGCAGATTCCAGGCCCACCCGGCCTACAGAGTCGGAGCTGTCGGTGCGGGGGGGCCACGAACCGACCCTCCGGATGAGGCTGGGACCCGCTAGAGAGCCGCCTTTTTAAAACGTTAGAGGTTTTCTGATTTCCCTTCCTTCAAGGAGAGGGGGTAAAAGAAACCCAGACCTCAGGAGGCTACTCCTGGACGCAATGCCCCTCCCCCCGGGGACGGATGGACTGGTGCCTGGAGAGTCTCCTCCCGGCCAAGTGGGAGCACCACTGCCACGTTTGAACATTGCAAACCCCAAGGCCCCTCACCCTAGAGGTGAGCCGGGAACTAAGTCTGTGTGTGTTTGTGCTTGTATGTTGGGACTGACGTGGGGGTCTGACCATTGTCCTTGCTTTCCAAAGGGCTTTGTGATAGACTCCTGCCACTATGGCAGAAAAGCTCTCTCGTGTACTCATTCCTCCTTTGTCCCACCTTTACTCTCCTTTAGACTTGGTTTTTCTCACGTTGTTTGGCTAGACACTTATTCCTGTGTGACATTGTTCTGCAGCACTTTGAACAAATGGCCCAGAACTGCCGTGGAGAGAAGTCAGACTGGGAGTATGGAGGCCTGGAGACTTCTCTGGCTCTGCCTGATCTCACTATCTGGCCCTGGGCCTCAGTTTCCCCATCTGTAAATTGAAGGCTGTGTGTGTGTATGTGTAAGTGCAGTATTAAGATCTCTGAGCCTTTTCTCACACTACACACTAAGGGGCAAAGCCTCAAGCTTCTCAAGCTAACCTGATTCAGACTGGCAGACACACCAGTATTCATTCTCATTTCTCCTCTTTTTCTTATTTATACCAAAGCAAATCAAACTCATGCCGTCAAGCTGGATCCAACTCATAGCGACCCCTTCTTGGATCTCTGAGGTGGTATCACGACAGAAATAGATTGCTCAACCTTCTTTCCAAGGAGTGGCTGGTGGGTTTGAACTGCCAGCCTTCTGGTTAGCAGTCACATGCCTTAGGTATTAGGCCACCAGAACTCCCTTCCTATTTATAAGAAGGAATTAATAGTTTCCTAAATATCCTGATATTCCACTTTTTCTCCGCACCCCCAAATCAGTGGTGACATGTGGCCTTACAGCTTTTCTTCCCTGTATTCTCTGGCTAGTATCTGGGTACTTATGCAGAGGGTAACCGGTAACCAGGCCTGTGTTAAAGTAGAACTGTGCTGCATAGGATTTTTTGTCTTTCTTTTTTGTATTTTATTGTGAAAATATACGTAACAAACATAATGTCATCACAACAGTTTACGACAGTGTTTTCAATGGCTGATTTTTTTTTCAGAAGTAGATCACCAGTCCTTTCTTCCAGCCCACCTCTGAGCAGGGACCCAAACACCAACCTTGTGATTAGCAGCCGAACACATTAACAGTTTGCACCACCCAAGGATTCATACAGAGGGTAGATTAGATATCAGACGATGACTTTGAATTCTGCCTTATCATGCTTCCTTTTTAGCCATTTCCACAGCTTTTAAAGCACCCCTCCTAGGTGATCCCACAGAATGTGGAAATTATCGAACAATGGCGGCATAGTGTCTAAGGCATTTGACTGCTAACCAGAAGGCTGATGGTTCAAACCCACTGGTCACCCCTCGGAAGGAAAGTTGGGCATTTACTTCCATAGTGATACCACCTTGGAAACTAAGGAGGGGCCTCTGTGAGTTGAATACTTGATGCCAGTGAGTTTGGTTTTTGGTTTGGATCATTAATATCACAAGCAAGTAAAATCTTACTGAAGATAATTCAAAAACAGTTGCAGCAGTATATTGACAGAGAGTTTCCAGAAATGCAAGCTGGATTCAGAAGAGGATGTGGAACCAGGGATATCATTGCTGATGTCAGATGGATCTTAGCTGAATGCAGCGAATACCAGAAAGATGTTTATTTATGGTTTTTTAGGAGCTCTGGTGGTGTAGTGCCTCAGGCATTTGACTGCTAACCAGAAGACTGGTCGTTCAAACCCACCAGTCACTCCTCAGAAGGAAGGTTGGGCAATCTACTTCCGTAGTGATACCACCTAGGAAACCCAAGGAGGGGTCACCATGAGTTGGATCTGACTTGTCGGCAGTGAGGGTTTGTTTTTTTTTGTTTTGGTATGTTTTATTTTCTATGCAAAAGCATTCAATTGTGTGGATCATAACCAATTATGGAAAGCATTGAGAAGAATGGGAATTCCAGAACACTTGATTGTACTCATGAGGAATTGTACATAGATCAGGAGACTGTCAATTGAACAAGGAGATACTGCACGGTTCAAAATCAAAAGAGAGTGTGTCAGGGTTGTATTCTTTCACCATACTTAGTCAATCTGTATGCTGAGCAAATAATCTGAGAGGCTGGATTATATGAAGAAGAATGTGGCATCAGAATTGGAGGGAAGACTCATTAACAACCTGCGATATGCAGATGACACAACTTTGCTTGCTGAAAGTAAGGATGACTTGAAGCACTTACTGATGAAGATTAAAGACTACAGTCTGCAGTATGAGTTACACCTCAATATAAAGAAAATACTTCACAACTGGTCCAATAAACAGCTTCATGATAAATGGAGAAAAGATTGAAATTGTCAAGGATTTCATATTACTTGATTCGACAATCAACACCAATGGAAGCAGCAGTCAAAACATCAGACATCGTATAGCACTGGGCAAATCTGCTGCAAAAGACCTCTTTCAAGTGAGGAAGAGCAAAGATGTCTCCTTTAAGACTAAGGTGCACCTAACCCAAGCCATGGTATCTTCGATCATTTCTTATGCACGTGAGAGGTGGACAATGAACAAAGAAGATCTAAGAAGAGTTGTTGCTTTTGAGTTGGGGTGTTGGAGAAGAATGCTAAGAGTACCATGATTTGCTAAAAGGACTAACAAATCTGTCCTGGAAGAAGTGCAGCCTGAATGCTCCATGGAAGCGAGAATGGCCAGACTTCATCTCCTACTTTGGTAATGTTGTTGGAAGAAACCATTCCCTGGAGAAGGATATCATGCTGAGTAAAGTAGAGGTTCAACGAAGAAGGGGAAGGTCCTCAATGAGATGGATAGACACAGTGGCTGTAACGATGGGCTCAGGTAAAGCAAGGATCGTGAGGCTGGCATAGGACTGGGCAGTATTTCGTTCTGCTGTGCATAGGGTCACTATGAGTCAGAGATAACTGGATGACACCTAACAACAACAACCTAGAGAAGAGCTAGTTAACAGAGAATGGAGGCAGAGGCAACATTTCAAGCATAAGAATGCATTCTGTGCTGAGTTTGTCAGCTGGATGGCTGGCCTAACATGGAAAAAGCAGGCTTTTGAGTGCTGTAATTAGTGTTTTCACTTAGCTTTCAATTAGTGTTTTCACTTTCTTCAATATTCTCTTGCTTGTTTGTGTGCTTTGCTATGACCCCTTGTTTGATACTTGAAAATAAATGCAGTGAAAACTGTGAGACTTGAAATTCAATAGGACTGCCTTGTATTCCTGGTCTTGCAAGTTTTTTGCCTTTGACAGGGTGCATTCTTACCACTTTTCTATCTCTCAGTGTAGAGCAAAATACAGTTTTCTTCTCTGACAGATTTCTGCCTTACACAGGTTCTGGCTTTTGAAGGTTTTACTGTAATTTATTTTGTTATTGTTGTTGTTGAGAATATACACAACAAAACATACACTAACTCAACAGTTTATATGAGTACAATTTAGTGACACTGATTACATTCTTTGGGTTGTACAACCTTTCTCACCCTCCTTTTCTCAGTTGTTTTTCCCCCTTTAACATAAACTCACTGCCCCATAAAGTTCCTATCTAATCTTTTGAGTTTTTATTGTCAATTTGATCTGATATAAATATGTAGATCTTAAAAGAGTATGGCACTTAAGGCAGACATTCTTTACTAATTAAGCTAAACTATTGCTTGATCTTAAGAATATTTCAGGAATCTTTTTTATTTAAGGTTTAAAGATTATCTCAGGGCAGTAGTTTTATGGATTTATCCAGAGTCCATGGCTCCAGAAAATATGGAGTCTATGAGAATCTGACTTGTCTAACCTACTTTGGTCATGTTGTCAGAAGGAACCATTCCCTGGAGAAGGATATCATGCTTGGTAAAGTGGAGAGTAAATGAAGAAGGGGAAGGCCTTCAATGAGATGGGTTGACACAGTGGCTACAACAATGGGCTCAGGTATAGCAAGGATCGTGAGACTGGCACAGGACCGGGCAGTGCTTTGTTCTGCTGTGCATAGGGTCACTATGTGTCAGAATGCCTCAACAGCACCTAACAACAACAACAGTGAGAACCTGAAATTGTTCTACATTTTCCCCCTTTTGATCAAGATTCTTCTATAGACTCTTTGATCAAAATGTTCAGTAATGGTAGTCAGGACCATCTAGTTCTTCTGGTCTCATGACAGAGGAGGCAGGTGTTGATGGAGGCAATTAGCCACATTTCAATTTTCTCCTCCTATTCCTGACTCTCTCTCTTCCTCTGTTGTTCCAGGCAAATAGAGTTTAATTGTTGTGCCTTGTGTTTGATATGTTTCATGATTTCAATAAAGTTTTATCAATTATTGCATGAAT